AGCCCCATAGTCCCAAAATGGAACTAAGGCCCTACTTATCCAAGGAAAGTTTTTCAGAACGTTCGGAGCGGTCATGCTGAGAAGCACCCATACCTCACTTGCCAGGAGCGTCGGTGGAAGCGGCGGAGGGTACTCAACACAATGGGCGCACTGCTGCAACTGTCATTCAAGGGCGTAAGCACCATTGCCATCATCCCCTTCATGTGCCATGGCGAAGACTGGAGCAGCAGCAGCAGGAGCATGGTAAGCAGGAATTAGCAACAGCAACGATCGTGATTATCTATAACGGGACCCCCACATGATTGCCGAAAATTGTCACAATTGTAGTGAGTTGCCTGTTGGATCAGAATGTGTGACAGGATGTACCGTGTAAATGTTAGCCGCCGTGCAATTGCAAAGCCCACACCTTCTGACTCTTCTAAGAAACAGGAAAGCACACCAAATCTGAAAGTGGAACTGAGGTGCTACACGCATCCGCAGTCGGCTTAGTTGAATAGCAAGCAATTTCCAGCTTGCCAGCAGCCCGCAGACGAGTCCAACTGCTAAGGAATGGCAGCCACAGTGTCCTCGACTATCCGAACGTGCTTTGTGGTGCCTGGGACTATTAGTGTGTTTGGTGAAGGAAGAAGGCCCTTGATCCATCGGAGGCCCATAGAAACAGAGTCTTCATCCAAGGCAGCGAGGAGCACACAGGGATGCTGATTCCGGCCACCCTGCTTCTGATCTTTTTTGTTTGCGGCTTCATGGCGATCTGCGTCACTGGACTCAAACGGGCTTTGGCGTTGTCTGTTTCAAAATCAGGGTCCCATGCTCGTGTCGCAAAGCAATACTATAGAAGGTAAGAAAAGAAGGTTTCCTAAAAACAGAGCAAGGATCTGAGAACATGTTTCATGCTTGTCCCTGACTGGCCAGATTTGGCTCGTGTGGCGGCTGCCCTCCTGGAGTAACAACGTGAACCCCGACTGGGAGACACCCGGCACGGTTTTGGGACAGGAGGATCTTGTACATGGGCCTGCAGCCGCAGTTGTGTGGACGAAGCACGAAGCAGTTGGCACCTGAGGCCCTTCCAATGTCTGGCCCCACAGATGTACAAAAATTGTTCCAGCTAATGAGCTAGCCCCTCCTCCCTCAGCGCAGAGCTCCAGCACGTTGGAATCCAGGAAGGTTCAAAGCACCTACTTCCTCTTCAAGCGAGTGCGCTTGGATAAGCGCCTTGGCAACAGGGAGCTGGCTTGCTAGACGAAGTCCGAGCAAAGAATAGGTGAAAGGGCACGCCAATGACAGCAGTGAGCTTTGTCAGGTATTGGTACAATGTCCCTCTGCTTCTGCGAGGACACAGGGTAGCGGCTTTCGCAAATTGCATTTTGCTGAAAAACTTGGGTCTTTGTTCCAGTACTACTGGATCTGTCTCATGGGCAAGGCGGAAGGTTCAGGGGAAAACACCATGACAAGCTCTCTGCCCTTTTGCCCATTCCACCTGAACTCCCCGATGTCTACAAGAGGGGTTGGCAGGCCCACTCCTTTCACTGACGCTGGTGCTGGCAGCGGACAGTGCAGCAATGCAGGCAGAGCCATGTTTCAGGGCAGCTTGAGGAGCAGGTATGGAAGACACCGGCTCAGATGTCTTAGATGTTTCTTTCCTAGTGGTTAGGGTTGGTGCGTACTATGATTTGCATCTGCATATTCTTCCACAGGAGCCCGTAAAGATCGGTTCCTTGATTAAGATAGACCGCACATCGGGAAAGAGCGCTGCAGCAGACTGGACCCCAAACTTCAGTCACTGCACAAACGCGGCACCAAGCACATAATCAGAAAAGTTTATCAGAGGACCATGTAGACCTGGCGCAAGCATGCGTTTCACCAAAGTAAGAACAGAACATGTGGCAAGGGGCAGGATTGCAAATCGACATACTGTCTGACTCTATTTTTGGCACAAACACTTGCGCAAGTGTTGAGGAAGGACATAGAATATCCGTTCATGCCGCGCTACTGTGGTCCTAAACTTGCGCGAGGGTTCTGACCACAACCTGCCTTTGATTCCTGACAGATCTTCATTTTCGCCATCGTGCAGACGTTCTTCGCATCCTTGTTCCTTGGATTCTACACAACACTCGCACCCTACCCCAACTCTATAAGATTTCTCATGAAGTTCGATCCAGTGCCGTGTTTGAAGTCCCGTTGTGGTGGGATGGCGAAGCACGCAACCTAGTTCTATAGTCAGTCCCCTACCTCAGGGGAAGACGGGGGCTGCAAGGGCGTTGATGTTTTTCTTTGTCTGACAAGGTGGCTGTCACAGATCCAAGGCAGTAGCAGGTTTCATCTCATGAAACACAACTTTTAATTTTGCACGGTTGCACACATCGTATGTGTAAGACGTGGCAGACATGTCATTTTGAATCCACTCGAGTCCCATAATCCCCAAATAACCCACTATGGTGGTTTCCATGTTCTTTCCATTATCCCAATATAACCCTGATATGTCCCCCAATATCATTGTGCGAGGCAAGTCTTGTGTTGGCCTTGGAAGCTTCCCTTGCACAATTGCACTGACTACGTGATCTCAACTGGCCTGGTCGTCTTGATCTTGACCTACGGCCTACTGCTTGCCGAGGGCGAGGACTGGAGAACAAAGTCGTGTAGACCGAAGTACTGCTCAGGGTCTCCGGATTGCGGCCTCAAGAGCAAGTTGTCCCGAAGTTGTCGAGCCTAGCATCCAGCTTAGATCCAGCTGGTGCAGGACCGGATGATAGCCGAGTCTTTCGTGTGGCCTCGACTGAATTGGTACTCTTTGATGGCTGCAAGCGCACTCAACTTTTGAAACCTACCACTGCTGCTGGTAGTAGAAGCAGAGAGAGAGCAAGCTATGGCTTGGTAATTCCTACCACCACATCCACCTCCGCGAGCAGGCGTAGTTGGAGGTAGTAGTGGAGGCAGCGGTGGTGGCGGTGGCAGCGGCGGTGGCGGTGGAGCACAGACGTCTGTCACACTCGTACCGAAAAGAAACGAGAGCACGCGAGCCGGATTTCGCCAGCGACCCTCAGCACAGGCTTCTGGCGACTAATGCCTGTTCCCCCAACCCTGAGCCGTAAAGCAAAGTATTCACTTCGGGCTTACGTTTCAGTTTACGGTTCGCTGCCTCAGTGAGTCTTCGTTTAGGTTGTTAGGGTTCAAAGAACCTGAAGCCGGTGCGAGACCATCTGCCGACCAGAACAACTCCTGCGCAGCCAGCTCCCTCCAAGTTCCCTTCTTCTGGTGAACAAAGTCTCGGCGGGATGTTGTGTTTTCTTGGAGCTTCTGCCCTTCTCACGCAGCTGTTCTCGCAAGGCTCGGATTGTGCCTCCAGCAACCGAATGACATGTCTCCTGCCGACGCCCTGTGCGGTTGCAGAGCGCGCACCGGTGCTTCTGCTTGCCATGGCTACGCCCTGGCACCAAAGGAATAGGCATGCTGAACCAAACTGCTGTTTTTTCTTAGGTACTGCCAAAGTGCAGTACAGGGCTCAGGACGCTGTGATTAAGGTTTCAAGGTTGGGGGGTCATTATACATGAACCGCTCAAGGCGCAGGCTTTCAGCTTAAGGGATGCCACTCCGTAAACCCTAAACCTTATTAAGCCCTACCCCAATGCTTTCACCAAAACATTCCATGTTCTATCTACACAAGGGTGTCTATAGGTCTTCAAGCTCAAGGAAAGTATAAGGAGCCAGTCTCTGGCTTATGCAGGTTGAAAATTTACTTTCTGCACGACGATGTTGAATACCATGGCCCAGAAAGTTTGGGGTGCATTTATCTGACCCTAAACAGTTGCCGTTCAAAACAAAACTTTTTGTCCTTAGCAACTGCTCAACGACCCAAAAATGGCTGAATTTCTGACCTTCCACTCTCACTGGCAGGGTCAGATACCCGCCACGTGCGTCGCCGTAGTCGTAGTAGTAGCATCAGCAGCATTAGAAGTAGTAGTAAAAACAAGCATAGTCGTAGAAGTAATAGTAGTAGTACTAGATGTACTAGTCGTCGTCGTAGTCGTACGCGGTCGTAGTTGTAGTCGTAGTCATGGTCGTAGTCGTGGTCGTAGTCGTAGTCGTAGTGGTAGTCGTAGTCGTGGTCGTAGTTGTAGTCGTAGTAATCGCAGTCGTCGACGTCGTCCTCGTCGTCCTCGTCGTCCTCGTCGTCCTCGTCGTCCTCGTCGTCCTCGTCGTCCTCGTCCTCATCGTCCTCATCGTCCTCGTCGTCCT